TAAATGTAGAGAATTAAGAAGAATTATTTGAAATGGGAAAGGGAAGAAAAGAACAGGAAGAGGAAAGCAAATAAAGCAATGATTGAGTTATAAAATGAAATTATAAATGGTGAAGTTAAAATTGAATGAAGGGGGATGAGAGGAACACGGGGATAAAGCATAATTTTGATATCTTATGCACAGGTGCACATTCTCTATGTTGAATGTGAACAATATACCTGAAAAATATGTAGTACAAGATAATAAAAGAATGAAACAAATGCAAAAGAAATAGATATAATAAAAACATCCAGTACATCTCTAATGTGCCATCTGGAAAACAGTGAGTTGGGATTCAGGGCTCCTTCTATCGCATCCTTGATGACAGGGCTAGCTGGAAAACAACGAGTTTGCATGGGGGACCACCGCCAAAGGCAAATTCAAGAATGACAAAATGTCAAAACTGTGCAAGCTTTGCAAATTCAAAATCCCAACTAAGAGCAGAAGGAACTGAGTACTCTGAATCCTATGGACATTCAATAATAGTGGCCAAAGCTCCTGAACCTGGTTATTAACGCCAGGATTTTTATCAATATTCCAGTCTTCTGTATTCTGAGCAGAATCTCCTATGGAAAATAGCATAAGGCGATCCAGCTATACTCATTCAGAGGACATCTCCAAATCTTTCCAAAAACTTCCCACAAGCAATTCCCAAAGAATGTTGAACCATATGGTCAGGTACGGTCACTACAAAGAACCCATTCCTCTGGTCACAAATTCTCTCTTGATTACCTTTCTCTCAATTCTGACACAAAACACCTGACCTTCTAAATGGAATGGAAAGATTTATTTATCTTACTGTTTTTGGAGTTTTAAATCTATAATCAGCAGTCTGCAAGGTGAGTGACACATGGTAGATGCATCAGATTTCTGCAGCAGAAAGCAGCACAAGCAACAATAGCAAAAGGACAGGATCACAGAGAGATTCTTTCTGTTCCTTATATTGTAAGTAAGCCACACACACACGGGTGTAGCATGTACAACTACAACTACAGCATTGGACCATGAAGTATTCACACACTCTAGAAGCACACTTCCATGATTGCAGAAGTCTCTGTGGGCCTCCAGACTCAAAACATAACACAGACTCATTCACAGAGACAACCACAAGTGCATTAGTCTGTCATAGTGTTCTCAGCATACTGTGAGTGCGCTGCTATATTAATGTTGATATGAAAACCATGAGAGTTTCATTCCTTAGGTCAGACCTGGAATATATGTGCATATATACTTTGGATCATACTCACAACTTCACACTTGCCAGGTAAGCATGTACACCACTGAGCTAAATCACCAGTCCTATTTTTCATAGTTTTAAAATCCAAAACTAATATAAGCTTTAACTTCCATATCAGTAAAATACCCAGAATACATATTTACTGTCCTCTGATAGATACATGTTATAAATACTCTTTAAAATTTGCTCGACTAGCTGTACTTCAGTTCTCTATATCTTGATATTTCAAATCTCCAAAAATACTTTCTTATGCTAAAGAATAATATAAATTATCCTGAATAATGTGAAATAAGATTTGTTTACTGAAGTTCCTTTTAAAAAATGGCCCACTGCACTCCGAGTAACTTACACAAACCTGAGTGTAGTTAAGCTAATAAAATTCAAGCACATTTACTCCAATATTCAATTAAAAGGAAGTGGAAAACTTACCCTAACGAGAAAATTGAATAACTGACTTTATCTGGTACACTGTAGTGGCTCCTCCTTCCATGGAATTACATGTCAGTCTTACAAGAAATCTAGAACAGTTTTCCATGTGATATATATCTGGAGAAAACTTGGTAAGCCACAGATGAATTGTGACCAACTGCTATTTCTGCAACTACCCCACCACCAGGGCTGATGTTACAATTTAATTGGCCAAAAATAGTTTGGTTACTGAGACAAAACAGAAATAAATATAAAAAAGGATTACATAGCATACACCTCATGCAAAGTAATATTTCAATGTCATTGTGGCCACAGGATAATAGCAACAGAAATTGGCAGAATGTAAACAGGAAAGAGAAGGAAAAAGACAGGAACCTTCAATATTTCAGGCTTCACATACATAATGAATCAGACTCAGATGCCTTTCATAGTGGTCAGACAGTTCTAATCCAGCTGCCTGCTCTGGTGGCCAGATGCCTCTGACTCCAGGTGCCTCCCATTGTAATTAGACACCTCTAAGTCCTCTGGTGCCCCACACCATCTCTCCCTAGTGTCAAGGATTCAATGTCTCTGTTAATTTACACAAAGATAGCCAAGATATTGTGTTTATAGTTGAATGAAGGAAAAGGGAAAGTGTCCCTCAGCTTCACTGTTTCTAACTGTACTGCTACCACTAACAACACCATGGAAACTAGTTTATTTATTTGTTTTAGTCATTTAAATGTTGAAAAATGTAACAAGATATGTTCACTTGTATCTTAAGGACAGTAAACAGACATCTTTGAATGACACAGATATGTTGATGAAGAGACTGTAAACTGATGAGAAATGCTTGTTTATCTTCTGGATAAACTTATGTATGCAAGAGCAATCAAACAGATGGTAGGTTCAATATATCCTTTTTCTTTTCATGTTCAAAATATAGAAATCTATGTGACAGGGCTCACTACCCAGAGACAATTTTTCCCCTGTGATTAGAGCACTCTTCACTGATAAAGATTCCAGAACCATGACAATAGCCTAAGGAAATGATTAGCCCTACACAGGATCCCTGCTAACCTTTAACAGCTGATCTCAATCTCTTACAAAAAAGCCAATCTATACCCCAAATCAAAATGACCACCTCAGGACTGGGGATTTAGCTCAGCGGTATAAGCGCCTGCCTTGCATGCAGGCAGTCATGAGTTCAATCCCTGGTACCAGTAAGAAAAGAAAAAGACAAAAAAAAAAAAAAAAAAATGACAACCCTGCAGCCACCTAAATTGCAGTACCTTTGCAATTAAAACTATTTTTGTGAATTTTTCCTTTAGTTTAATTTCAATCTCCACAAAAGCATTTGAAAATAAGTCACTGTGACAATAATTTTTACTTTAAATAGCTGGGAAGACTGGCACTGTGGCTGGATAATCTTACCTGTTGCCTGTATTCCCCAGGGGAATTTTCAATTTGTCCATTATTTTATTGGTTAGTTAATCTGAATTGTGGAACCCTACATTTTCTAATAGGAACACTCTTTTTTTAACAAAATACCATTTATATCTTCAAAAGAACACAATTAACATTTGGATGTTCTGACTTTTAGGAAGAGTGGCTAATGAGAAGAAACTAGGCTGGCTCCTACACAGGCAGTTTCTTAGGCATGGACAGCCTAAGAATCTTGGTTGTTTTTTTTTTTTTTTTTTTTTTTTTTTTTTGGTCTCAAAACATTTAATGATAAATTACTGTTTTTCTTCTTTATGGTTTTCTTTTGTGTCTTCTTCTTTTAAAGCAAAGGAAAAAAAGAATGGAAAAGAAGTAAATTTGGGGGAACACCCAAAAACTTTTCCCACTATATTTAATTACCATAGTTCATGTAAAAAACCAAACACAGACTGAAATTCTTTTTTTAGTATTACTCACTGTTGTCCTGCTTGTGGGGGCCTAGAGATATTTGTGTGAGTGAGTTTGCAATGTTTAAGAACACACATGTGTATGTAACCAGCAACAGCAGGAAGCATCGGGAAGTGTAGAGCAGGAGAGCCAGAGGGAGAGCCTCCTGCCTCTTTAGTATTTATACAGGTTGTTACTTCACATTTACATTCTCATAGAGTGCCATTAAAGTGAATGTGTAAATCATGGTTACACAATTTTACCTCACTATTCACTTTTAAACACAACTGGGGTCCTACTCTCACATGTCCTTAGAAGCCGCTGAGTTTGAAACTCTCACAGTGGTTCCAAAGCAACACCAATAGTGATTTTTGTTAAAGATAAAATACTCAGAACACTCACCTACCAGATAAAATCTCCTCATAATTCTTTTTTGTCCATGCCTCACTTTTAAGATAGGAAAACAGTGTATACTCTGTTCTTGCAAGCAGTAACTGTTAACAGTGTGAGGACTCTCTTCAATCTTGTACAATGAGAAGGCATGTTTACCAGCACGTTTGTATTAGTATAGTTTGAAGGACTGAAATTTGCCCCCCTGAACATGCATTCTTGTGTAATACACAAATTCACCCTATAATCATTTCTCTCTTTTCCTTTTTCTTAATATTCAGCAATTTCCCCTCCTTTTGCTCCAGGAGCCTGATTGCTCTGATTCTTCAGAGGCAGGCAGTTCCATGCACTCTCATTGCTGGGATGTGCAGGCTAGTGCCTAGAATGCATGCCAGGATCTCTCAGTCATGGCCAAGGGAGCAAAGAGATGTATCACAGGCAATTCCTTTGGTGTAAATGTCCAAGTCCTGGATATTTTTCTTCTCTCATCCCTAAGTTGCTTAGTGCCAATATAAATCTGCGGTGTCCAGTCCAAGGGTATGCCTCGAGTCACCTGGCCACCCTCAAATTTTCCCAGATTTTAATTCTGTGATGTATAAAAAAGAAAAGCAGACAAACAACTGTGTAAAGTAAGACTAAATTTTATTTACAGAAAAAAATACCAGAGGAGGAGGCCATTGTACTACCATCTAAGGGCAGCTCTACACAGTGGGTGTTTCTGTTTATCTGATGAATGCTTTGATTTTATTTTGAGTTCAACCTTGCAGCAATCATGGTGCACCATAATGTAAAAGTCAGGTTTTCCATTGCTTCTAAGTTATGCTATAAGGACTTTGCAAAAGTTACTCTTATAAATTCTAAAGGTCCTATCTCCTTGTTATGAAAATTGAAAAGCGGTACTATCTATCCTTAGAGAAGCACAATTCATTGTTTCCTTGTAGAAGTGTGCAAGCTCCAAAGATTGTCCTCTCTATGAAAGGTTCAGTGGCAACCACTGTGACCACTGTTTTGGGAAAATAAACAGACAGGTGGGATCTTAGGACAGCCTTATACGCTTGTATGGGGGCCCCAGAACAGCACACTGGATGGAAGCCAGAGACTGGTAGGCTTCAGCCACCAAGTGAGGGTGTGACACCACTATGGATTTCCACTTGTCAGTCCTCAGGATTTCAGAAATATGCGAATTGATGAAATCCACCGCACAAACTTTCAACTGATAGGCACTATGGATGTCAGCCAAGATGAGGATTTCCAAAACATTCACCACAGAGAGGTTGCAACACAGGTGTTTCTCACACATGAGCTTCAGGTGCTCCAGGCCATACCTGTCTGCAGCTGCCAGCAGATCAGGTGCCATTCTGTCAAGTTTTGGTGCTTTTCCAGTGTACATGAAGAACACTATTTCCTTGAAAACTTCAGGCTCCATATCACTGATTTCAACTCGACTGTTTTTGCTCTCCTGCATTTCATGTACAAACATGGCCTTGAAAACTGGAGAGCGAGCTGCTAAGATGGCTTTGTGAGCCTGGAATTCTTGGCCAGCCACACACAAGCAACAGTCTGCCAACAGGGAATTCTTCCACAGCCCTCCTAGATCACTTGCTAAACAACCTTCACAAGCCTTCACCATATGCTTATTATTTTGGCTAAAACTGTCAGTGGAGTCTAGTGACACATTCACCTCACAAAAGAGGGTCAGCTTGTCATCAGGGAGTAGTCCATTGGTTGGATCTAAAAGAAAATCTCTAAGGATGAATTTTCTGACTCCCAGTTTTGTCCCTGGATCAAATCTTTGAATTTTTTTACTCGACAGACCTTTGGCTTTCTGTCCTTTATCATTCAAAATGTAAAATGTGAATTTTGCCCAAGCTTCTCTCATTGGGCAGCTGATCAGTGCGAGACACAGGGACAGGTATTCTTTGCTTTCTTCATTGATCCCTTTTGGATATACTCGTAAGCACCATTTCAGTTCACCATTTTCTTCAGGTGAAAAGGTTGAACTTTCAATGGCACTACCTATTTCCTTTAGGGAAAAGCTAAAGTTACTGATGGTCCATAGGTAGGAGCATTTCACTACTTCAATCTCTGTGGTGTACTGGTTCTCAGCTACTGGCCCTTTCGACATTTCTTGAACTCCTGACATCAATCAAGCAAAAGTGAAGCAAGGTTTTCTAAGTGATAGGACAAAGATCCTTTTTTTCAGCAGATTGTAGAAATGTCACTCCAGTCAGCAGATCCAAGAGAAGCAGGGAGATATGGCAGTCACAAAGTAGAGAGCCTAAAACGTAGATTTAAAAAACTAATTAGTGAAAGTCACTTTTATCAAGATTTTCTAATTAATTAGTCACTACTCCGTTGTGTCTTGATTACTGTAAGAAATAGCTCACAGAAGAAATCCCCTTTTTAAAATTTTTGTTGTGATATATGTGTGTAATTTTACCACTTGGATGCCCGAGAATCACAAAGCATTGAGCAGAGCTGGAACTCCACAGCAAAATTGAATCCTATATGCATCAGATACTTTATTTAAAAATCTGCTTTTTGGTTATATTCTATGACACAGTGCAATTTTTTTAGTTTTTACTGTTGGAAATTGAGTCAGGAGACTTCCCTTCGAGTTACATGTTTCGTCCTTGTATTTATTTTGGGGTGGAGATTTGGTCTAATTAACTCATTAGACTTCCAAATTAGGAGTGAATTTTCTAGTGTCCTCCTACTTAAGTACCCAAACATTCTGGGATTACCAAAGTGAGCTAGCCTGCCAGTATGGTCAACTGTTTCTCTAACAACACATTCCTGCTGCATTAGCATTCTGAAGCAGTCCAAGGATTTGACACCATTAAACAGAATGTACTTCAAAGAAACTATGCTCTCAGAGGTAAGTGTTATATGGACCTAGTTAAACACTTTTCTTCATCTCCACATTCAGCCTATGCACTGTATTGTACTTCACACAGAATTTTGAATTTGATGGGTTAAAAACCTTGCTGAGGATGAGATAGAAAATGTTGTCTCTCTTTTTCCATTATTCCTGCTCTGGCCATAGGAGGCTGTGATTTGGCCAGCAGATGTCTATGCCACTCCCTTGCTCTCCTTTGCTCCCTCTTGCATCCCAATTGACTGAGACAATACTCTTCAGTATCCTCCCGGGTTACCAAACCACCATTCTCTTCTCCTACATGAGAGCAGTCAGACTAATCTGGGTAATTTCCACACTCCATCCACTTTGGTTGATACAGTTGCATCTGAGAACAAATAGAGCACCTGGAAACAATCAAAGTCACCGAGCAAGGGAAATGGGTTCCTTATTCTCATAAGCAGTATGCACATAAAGTGTTCTAGAGGATTCCCTCATTTGAGCCCTTTGCCTAGCTGACACAGGCCTGTCACCACCATGGAAGACCAGCAGCTGAAAAACAATTGAGCCTAAGGGAAGAGAAGCTTGCCCATGAAAAGGGAGAAATGTTTTTCAGGAGAATTACAGAAAACTTTCCTTAATGACATCATGCCAATCTTGAAGCTACCCACTGTCTTAATGCCGAGGGTTGTCCAATAGTATCCATATTGTTTTCTAACAGAAATGCTGTGAAGATGAAATTAAGTTAAATAGTGCTGCTCCTACAAGGGCTCATTGATTATTAGTTTTTCCTAATACAATTTAATTCTGAGATACTATTTCATATACACAGATGTACACAGATTAAAATATCCCTACCTCTGCCAGGCAGTGCTCTCTAGATAAACAGATTTAGTGCAAAGTAAACCAATCTGTAAGAAGTTCCAAGACTGACTTACAGATCCTGCATGCAGAGTCACATATGAGAGAGATGAAAAGGTTGTTGGCAGGCTGGAGACACAAAGAACCCAGTTGAAATCCTGGAGATGTGCTGAGTTGGATGTGATTTCTTCTCAAACTGCTGTGACCCTTCATCCTTGACTCTCCTTTTATGCCACTTAGGTGAGAATCCACCCTAGGGTGGATATTCCTATGCTATTCAAATCCAATTGAGGTAGGCATGCTTAACTCAAATTAAAAGATTAAGTTAATGCTTAACTCCACCAGCCTTTTGTCTCCTTACAGAACCATATTTCTTTTTGCTACTTTTGAATTTCTTTTTTATTTATCATGTATTTCTTTATTTGAAATTTGAAAGTGTTTTGCTTGTAGTTCAAGCAACCCTTATACTTTCCATTATCCTATTGCTTGAGGCTATTGTGTCCTGGGATTGTAAACAAGACCACTATACCATTTTCTTCTATTTCTTAATTTCTAAAGAGGTAGGGTTGGTTTCTGAAATTTGAGTATTCAAGAATCAACAGCACCCGGGTGTGGTGGTGCACTCCTCTAATCCCAGCACTCCAGACACTGAGGTAGGAGGATCACTGCTATTTTAAAACCAGTGTGAACAACATAGTTAGGCCTTGTCTCAGAGTAATCAGACTATGCATGAAGGGCTGAATGAAGCAAGAAAGTCTTCTGATAAGCTTGAAAGGAATAAAACTGCCATACCATCACAAAAACTCAGAAATTCTCCCAAGAAAAATGTTAGAATAACAGTCAACACTGCAGGAAGCTTTGCGGATTGGGAGTCCCACGTAAGGGCAAAAGGAATTGATTAGCCTGAACACTCAATTCTGGTGGCTAAAACATGCTGGTAGGAAGAAATTCCCATTTAGAAGAAACTTCTGGTGAAGATTTTGAGCTGGTCAGGAACAGAAAGCACCAAGGGATTAGAATTCACAGTCTAAATAAAGAACAAATGCTATGAAATAAGCCAAAGGATGTTCTGTAGGGTGAGTCTAGTTCCTCTTGTTCTACTTTGCTTCTAGTAGAGAAATAATTATGTGAGGGACTGGGTATGTGGGATGTCAGTGTTAGCTTACATTGTTGTACATGTGTGAAGACTTGGGACCATTTATAAACACACACACACACACACACACACACACACACAGATATTTAAACACACATTTCATTTCTATCGAACAAGATAAAGCAAGTAGATCATACACTTCAATGTAATGCAGTGTTATTATGATGATAAACAAGAGTGTGAAATAGAAATGTCACTGCGAATTGGAGGCACACCAAAGTTACACATATGGAGATAAAAAGTATATTTTTAATAACGTGTACCTTAAATACGTAGTAGTATATCAGCTAGAAAAATCTCTAAGCATAATTTTGAAAATATCACAATAACTACTTAAAGATCCAGAAAACTTAACAATTTCTAAGTACTTTAAGAATACTATCGCAGCAGTCATGTAGCTCAGGTTCCTGCATAGGGGCCGGGTGTGCAGTCTTTCTCTTCTGCCCTCGTCCAGCGTCTTTCACCCAACTTGCCTATGTTCATCTTGAATATCAATGTGCCCCGCAGTCCATGTCGGAGAGATTCCTCTCCGAACTCACGCAGCAGCTTGCGCAGGCCACCGGCAAGCCCACCCAGTACATCACAGTGCATGTGCTCCCAGACCAGCTCATGACCTTCACGGGCTCATGGAAGCCATGCATGCTCTGCAGCCTGCACAGCATCCGCAAGATAGGTTAAGTGCTGAATTGCTCCTACAGCAAGCTGTTGTGTGGTCTGTTGTCCTAGTGCCTGTGCATCAGTCCCGATAGGGTTTATATCAACTATTATGACATCAATGCTGCCAACATGAGCTTGAAAAGCTCCACCTTCGCTTGAGGCCGTTTCTGCACCAATGGCTCCAGAGTTCTACAGTGATTTGTAACCCTCTTTCCCAAGGGACACCCCAGCCATGTCAAGACAAATAAATGGTTTGGTGACCAAAAAGAAAAGAATACCATCCTTTCAAGCTGCTTTTATTTTGGAGAGGGAAAGTGTTGGGGATTTAATTGAGGGCTTTCATGCGAATTTAGATTGTTTAGTTTGAAACAAATTCTTGCTAAATTTCGGGGTTTCCTAGGCTTAATCAGATTTTTTTAGCAAATCCATTACAGTCTGCCAGGGTGCTGAGATACTTAGGGACATCTAAATTGAAGTTCTAAAACGAATAACATCCACACAGCATTTTTACCTGCCATTGCCATTTCAAGTACCTTTGGAGTGACTGGTCACACAACTCCTGTGCCAGTTAATCCACATCTTGAATTTGATGAGATTAAGAGTCTCCTGACTTGGGGATTATACTCCTCAGTGGATTCATCCTTGGATGTTCATAGCTGAATGTGCTTTTAAGAGTTGGGGAACCATGAAGCTGAGTTGTTGTGGCTGTGCCTGGAGTGGGGGAGAATCTCTTGCTGCTGTTCATCTTTTCTTCTTTCCTTGTTGCCATGAAAAGAACAAATTTGATGTACAGGGAAGTTCTTCCACAATGTTTCTGCCTTGTAGCCATCCAAACTCTGAGGATACAAACCCAATTACACCTCTCCTGCTTTAAGGTTATATGTGTCCAGTATGTTTGTCTCAACAATGGAAACGCTCAGCAGTTTGTACAGCTGCCTGAACTTATTGCAGATTGCCATGCTGTGGTTATGGTTTGGATTCTTCTTATTTTTTATTTTTGTACCAGAGATCAAATTGATAAGTTTCATTTTCAGGGAACAAGGTTCATAGTGTAGCAGTGATAAAGTAATGTAACTTTAAGAGGTAGAACCTTCTAGAAGTTAATGAAGATATTAGAGTACTACAATCAGGGATAGAGAAAGTCTGGCTGACTCAGGGGAGCAGCTGAAGCTGAAAATGGATCACATGTGGTGCCAAAGAAATGCTAGTATGAAGAACAGTGACTTACTGAGTCAAGTCACAGAGATAACTGCTCTAATCTCAAGATCACTGGGTGCCTGAGACAAATGATGTGAATAAGTTCTTAGATGGAGAGGTTTCACATGATACTGAGTCTCCCAATGGTATTTATAAATGTGCTGCATCCCATGGAATTTGGCTTCTTCCTGCTCCTTCTCTCTCTCCTCCAGTTTTCTCCTCCATCAAGAAAGAGGGCTCCAAATGGTCTCAGGTTTCTGTACTGTGACTCTTGTCCTTTTTCCCCATGCTCACAACATTTGTATTCTAGGAAAGTTGAAAGTTGCAACTCACAGGCCTGTGGAGCTGGCTATGGTGGTTTACTCCTGCAATCCCAGCACTGGGGGAGAGGGTGAAT